CCATGTCTCCAAACCACCAACAGACCTGATTACAGGAAGCCTATTTAGATATGATGTATTGTCAGCCGCAGGGCGGCTTTGAATCATTCTGTCACATTCGACTGTTTTTGTTGTTCTTTCCTTTGCCGATAGCTGCGTCTGTTCTCTATCATGCTCCGGGATTGTTTTAACTTTTTTTTTTCTCGACTTGCTCTTTAAGTAAACAGCCAGTCAATCACTGTGCTGCGTGAGCGACTGTGCATCCAGGCGGTCATAGCGGCCGAGAAAGTCGAGGTTAATGCTGCCTCTCAAACAGTGAGCGGTTGAGCCCTACTGTGTCTCGATGCATGAAGCCTGCTGATATTATCCAATGGCATCTGCTTTTTAATGAAGTTGAAGCTTATTGTAAAAGTAAACAAGAAGAGGTTTTTTTAGATGCGTTCTTTTGGGGGGGGGGGGGGGCAGTCATGACCTAATTGTTAAAGAGTCAGACTGGTTACCCGAAGGTTGCGGGTTCGATTCTCAGTACGAGGAGGAAACGACTAAACAAGCACGGCGCCTAACCCCCAATCGCTCCCCAGGCGCCACAGCAAAAATGGCTGCCCACTGCACCTGGTGTGTGTGTCCACCGTTTGCAGTGTTCTTGTGTTCACTACTCATAATGTGTGTACACTAACTTGGATGGTTTAAATGCAGAGGACAAATTCTGAGTATTTGTATTTATAAGTACTTGGCCCTCACATGTTATGTTCACATTCTTTTTTCAATGTATGTTTCAGGCTTCATGTCCAAACCAGATACAGGTCCAGCATTTGCTTGTACTTATAAAGCCATAGATCCCACCTGCCGTTGGATGTTGTACTGAGAGGCATTGATGTACAGTCAGAGCTGACCGTTTCCCAGTGGAGGATGGCCAGGCTGGGCACAGCTTGTGTTCTGGGCTCCAGGGGTCTGGTTCTGTCTGGGCCCTAGGCCATCTGAATCCACTCCACTGCACTCAGAGGCTGCCCACAGTCTGTCTTCTCAGCTGTGGAGCTGAGGGGAGCTGGGCGATCTCCCTCAGGAGATGTCCAGGCTGCGGCCTACAGGGCAAACAGAAGGGAGGCTGGAAGAGCCCCCATCTTCAGCAGGACAATTAACTTAGGGCCAGAGGACTAGTCCTCAGTTGCTATTTTTATTATAAGATTTGACACTTCAGGCATAAGAAAGGCGGTCAGTCTATCATGAAAGAAAAAGCGAGGTGGAAAATGTGTGTGGAGAGTGAACAACTGTTAGAATGACTCTTGGGTATCTTATGTCACATAAGCAAATAATTTTATTACATTATTAAAGTCAGGTTTTGGACTCTTGTTCTTCCTAGTATTTGCTAATATCAAGCTGATTATTAATCAGTTGAGGGAAAAATAAAGGCATTTTGACATTTCAATTTTTTAAATTATCTGAAAAATTGTCAGAAAATTTAAAGCAAAGGTAATTTGTGCACCAGATATAGCATTAAGCCAGCTTAAAACCAGTATACAGTGGCTCCAAAAAATAAACAATTTGGATACTTAGGCCAATGTATAAAAATCTTTGCATTACATAACAAAATATAGGCTAATACTTCTTGGCTACTACTCACATAACCTCAGTTCCCTGAGTTAGGGAATGAAGTATTTTTTTCTTTATGTAAAACACATTTGCAGCTGCACAGCTCGCCCATTGAGTGTCTAGCTCGCTCATAGGCTGTGCTGCAGCAGCTGCACATCCAATGGCGCGGACGCCTCTGACGTGCGACCAATGAGACCACTCTAAGTCATTACACGTCAGAGCCCGTCAAGGGGGCGAGGACTCAGCCTATATTAGTCCCCGAATTCATCATTATAGCAGGTTTATACAAGTGAATCGACAACTATCCTGTTAAAACAGTGGCCGCATAGCGGCTGGCTATGCAATATTTCGTTCCCTTACTTAGGGAACCAAGGTTACATGAGTATAAGTAGTTCCTATTCGAACTGTCACTTCGTATTGCATAGCCGCACCGAGTAACTGGTTGCCACTGCAACTCAGGATCCCTGAGCATACAGAACAAGCCATAACCCACATAATTATGTATCCAGACCCGACCCTGTCAGGTCTGGGAGAATACATCATTAATCACAACATATCATACCCATAAACCCCGACACTGTTGGGGTCATTAGAATATGACAACACCACTGGCCTAAGGGGGTTAATCCTCCTAGCACCCTTCAGAAATCTCACGACCAGGTCATTTCTTCCCAGTGACTGGCCAGCCACCAGAACACAGTGTGCTGCAATGACTGCCACATATACTTTGAGCATGGACGGGGAGCGACCCACGTCCAACAGCTCCTGTAGGAATGAGAGAACAACCGATATCTCGCATGACTCTGGGTCTACATTGTTTTTCGTGCACAAGCTGGAGAAGCCCGCCCATTTCAAAACATAAGGGCACTGAGTCGACGGGGCTCAAGCTTCAGATATAGTGTTCAACACCTTCATAGGAAGGTCTCCAGATACCTATTTAAGGCCACACATGGAGGGCCCCATAGGTCAGGCCGTGAATGCCACAACGTTCCCTTCGCCTGTGTGAGGAGGTATTTCCTCATTAGGAAAGACCATGGAGCTGTGTCCGATTCTGGTGGCTCCTGGGCACTCACACTCTCTGACCCGTTTGATGACCTGTGGAATCATCGAGATGGGGGGAAAGCATACAGGGGGCGGTTGGGCCAGACGTGTTGTTGTTTCAGCGTGGGGGGGGGGGTCTAATTCTATCGCCCCTTTTGCTAATAAATTCTGCACTTCATACGTGACCCACGTGTCTGGTCTGCGAGCGAGTAGCCTTGCTTTATAGTATTTATGACCCAACTCGACACATCGGGGATAGCTTGCTAGGCTAAAACCATTGTGGGTGGAGTCTGAGACACTGATTGGGACGGGCCGCCTAACATAGGGGGACCTGAAATCCTTATAATGTGATTTGTGCATACATTGAGTGTTTGACTGACTGTGCAGGCATTTGCGCGTGGGGAAGTCAGTGTTACAACAGGGTTGAGTGTCGTGCTTGTGACACATGCTTTTTTGTGCTTTATTTGGGTCGCCGTGAAGATGGCGTTTGTTTGCAAAGATGTACTCACTGCTGCAGGCCTGTTTACGATAATAAAATTCCCAGCCGCCTGAACTGAACAGGGGGCTGTGTGAAGTTTAGTTGGCTTCTTTGAGGGTGGTCCGGCAAGTGTAGGTCCCTCTCTCTTCGTGCCGCGTGCTAGTACAACTTCGGCTGTGTCGCGTCGAGCACAATGCTGGGTCGCAGGGCTTGGCACCGGGGCATCGGAGACCGCTTTGACGCTCTTGACTGGCGCTGGGCATCAGCCGCAGGGCGGGGCTGAGAGGCCTGTTTCATCGGCTTCGCTGGCTGAGGCGTAGACGCGAGGTGTTGTTTGACGTGAGGCATAGTGGCCGCAACCAACGACTCGTAGCCCTTCTTCACTGCGGCATCCACAGAGGAGAGCGTTACGGAAACTGCAGAACCTTGTGTCGAATAAGAAGTGCGCCAGTCCTTGGTTGAAAAACATACTGTATTAACCATAGTTAATATGATAAATTATACTTGTTTTTCTAAAATGAGTGCTTTCATATGTACTAATGTACACCCAAAGCGCTTTAGGGTGCTTTAATCATATTAGGGAATCTCTCCTCATCCACCAGAAGTGGTGGGGATAGTATGCATAGTATAGTGCATTCATTAAAAATCGCCTTGACATTAGAGACAAACCAGCTGTAAGGAAATGTCTTAATTTGTTTGAAGCTTAATGGTTTGACATTTGTTAACTAATGCAGTGAGGTTTATACATTTTTAAGTATAGCTTAAATGACCAAATACTTTTGGGACCATTGTTCTGATTACTGCTTATCAAATATAAAGTATCTCTGCTGACATATATCTCTCTGTACATCTCTTACTCTGCCTCAGTGAATCACAGAAGAGCTCGTTGTGAATGTGCCCCTGAGGGCTGGAGTTTAGCACCACAACAGATAAACACACAAACAAGCTCTCTGGGCCGGTGCTGGAGAAAGACCCATTGTCTCAGTGTGAAAGTCCCACTCAATCCAGGGAGGTTAGAAAAACATCAGGCCAAGCACCATGTGGTCCACCCCTTGCAGGATGTTTGGGCCTATCATGCAGATCGGGTTCCTTTTTCAATATTATCTTATTGCTCTGTCCTCAGCGAGCATTCATGAAACTGTCTGTGGGCCTCTGAGGAGTGGGAGGTGCTGCTACACAGAAATGAAAACTTTAATTGAATTATTTGCTCATAATGGTGGTCTATAGATTTGTTTTTCAGATTAGTGGTGCTTATGTAAACAAAACAAAAGAATCCAGCATTATTTGTTATTAGATTTTTTTTAAGGATAATTAAAAAAACGTCCATGATATCAGCTGAAAATATGTGTGTTTAAATTAATATTACGAGCTCAATAGAAGTTAAGTTCAGTCAACTGCTTTTGTGGCATGATGTAGAATACAACAGGTTTCAATAGGTTGTAACAATAGGTTACAGTGACATATTCAAAGTTTAGTACATGTAACAATAGTTTAATCGCATTTGCATTGCAGTTGAATCTGTCACAAATCTCATTGCTCCTCATGACCAGTTTGTGAAGCTGTCAATGATGGTTAGGCCTGTGCACCGGCTGAAAAAAATAGAATCCATTCACACAAACTGCTCATTTTTTTATTTTTTTTATTATTATTATTCATAAAGTGGTGCCTTGTGGTTGCAAACTGCTAAAGCATAGTGAGAATTGATACAGATATTTTGGCAGCTAGTTAGGAAACATAATATTTGATACTTTAGTTATCCTTTTATTGCTGTCTACTTTGTGTTTTTTGGAACTGTATTGAGGTCTGAAGGAAATTACCCTTATGTTTTATATACATTTCTTTGTAATGGTAATTGCAGATAGGTGTTTAATTTCACTGCAGTAAAATGGTTGAATTTTCTCTTTTCCTGCAGCACTGAATGAACCCACTATTGACTACGGTTTCCAGCGGCTACAGAAAGTGATCCCTAGACACCCTGGCGACCCTGAGCGCTTACCAAAGGTCAGTTTTCTTACGTGACATAACGCTTGTGCTTTCTTTGCTTTAAAGTCAATGAAGTCCCTATTTATTTTGTGAATATTTACAATGTGTTATTGTTCAACAATTCATTAGTGTGTTAATTAAAAGATTTTCAACTTTTGCTTTCTGCTGACGTCAGTTAAGGCCACACAAGCTACTGGATAATAATAACCAATAGCCATATAAGTATTTAGGCACTGTTTTAACCAACTATCTTTCAGTCTGGCTCCTTGTACGTAACACCTACTTTTCACAATCCAATCCATTCCCAAAGAATAAGTCCCATCCAGATACTCTCTTTGTATATTGTTGCATTCATAAATATGTCATATTATAGAAGTAAAATGGGTTTAAATGTTAACTTTAACTGTTGATTTTAATTTCACTAGTTCACTTTAATTTTCATAGAGTAATACTGACACTGGTCCGGATTTCCATTTAACACGGTAGCCTTGGCTGGTATAACACATGGTTGTGTTATTTGAACCATTCATTACAGACTCCTTCAGTTCAGAGATTATATGCTGTATATTCAATCCCACGCATTTGTGTTCGGTATTCTCGGTGAAAGGATCCCAGTTGTGGACCTGGTTGGGTGTTTATTTCTCTCTCCATGCATGGTTCTTAAAGAGAGGCTGACCAAGTAAATGGATCCTTTGGGAGGGATAAATAAACATTACTTTATCTTGTTGTGCGTGTCCTATACCCCAGAGCCTTGCTCCAGCAGCACCACTTAATAGTGTAAAAAAGAAAAGAAAAAAAAAAAGAGTAATTATAGCTGGCTGCTGGCTGGGCCTGCTCACGCTCAGAACTGACCTTGTGCTGTTAGCAGCCCTCTGTATCAAAGCTGGGCCATCAGTATTCACGTCCCATGAGCCACCTCCCAATCCATTTCACCTTAAACACATCAAATTAGACCATGGGGTCAACAAATGCGGCATCAAACCAAAGCCAATCTAGAGGAATCAGGCAAATTCAGAGTTTGCGGCCAAGTAGTTACATTTGGCTCCTAATCTCATGTGACCTGCACCACACAGCAGACTATTAGCAACTAGCTTTTTCATATTTTGTTTCAGTTAAGATTAGATTTTTTTTCAATTAATAAAAATGTTTTTTTTTTTTTATGGTTTTAGTAAATATACTAACCCTGCCACAGCCTTATTTATATATATATATATATATATATGAAGAGTTCAGATGCAAAAGCCTCTAAATGCCATTTGAAATGTTCTTCTTTAATGATGAGTTTTATCAAACTTGTATATTTATGTTCAGTAATTTCACTTAAATAACAATTAATAGGTAATTATCATTGCCATTTAAGTGAAATTACTGAACTTAAATATACAAGTTTGATAAAACTCATCATTAAAGAAGAACATTTCAAATGGCATTTAGAGGCTTTTGCATCTGAACTCTTCATATATATATATATATATATATATATATATTGGCTCTTAATTTGGTGATTTATGAGTGTTTGACAGGAAGTGATATCATAGCTGTTTCATTTGTGATGTCAGAGTTAATATGTTGCAGGCAGTCTAGGAATAAATGGGTCATGGTGTATACCATAAATTCATTTGGGTGACTTGGGTGCTGAACTGCCATTATCAACTAATCAGGCAAGGTTTAAAACTATACACTACAAATAAAAAGTGTAATTATTATTATTATGATCCAGATTTTATAATAATAATAGTCATCAAAATTCTAAAAGCTTTTCATTCACTATCCATTTGGGGGGGTCATTTCAATCATTATTCATAAACACAATTTATATTTGACTAGATATTAAATCATAAATGAATAAATAAATATCTTGTTTTGTTATTTAGGAATAATTTATATTTGAATGCAAACTACTTTTTGATGTTAAGGATCAAAGTGTGTGAGCGGTAGTGTGTAGTGATCAGTGTTTTATCCACTGAAAAGGTAAAGTAAAGGATTACTGTTCATTTTTAGTCAATTTAATTACAGTTACTTACTGTATAATGTGCTTGCGTTACATACTGTAAATTAGTTCAACAGTTCTGCATAAATCAATATTGAATTTAAAATCTAGATTCTAAATGTATTGCCTAAAGGTAAAAGTGAACGCTGTCTCTTTAAAATCGTTAGCTGTGGTGCAGTTGCGCGTGACGAGTTCGCGTTTGAAGTTGAAAATGTCGGCAGAAGCCAGTGGCTGTTTTACCAAATGGAAATATTCCAACAGCCAAAAGAGATACAACCACTTTTTCACAAAGGAAGCAGCACTGTCAGCTGTGGAAATTAGTTTTTGTTTAGAAACATATGACCACATACAGTATGCATATGTTGCTCACTGCTTTGGAAATTTAAAAATGCACAGCCTGATTTTTGCAATGTAATTATATTTTTTGTTATTCAGTTATTTGTCAGAGGAATTCTGACCGTTAATTAAGGGTTACAGTGAATTAGAAATTAGTTCATTTTGTTGGAACACATGGCTACATCATGTATGAAATATAATATGTTACTCGTTGCTTTGAAACCGAGTTTTATGTTTACAGCTTGATACATGTCATTTAACTTCTCTTAAGTTAAGCTTTTTTGTTATTCAGATATGTAGCAGAATAATTCTATTTTTTGTTATTCAGATGTATAGAGGAATTCTATTTAACTAAAGGTTACATGTGTTCCATTACACGAGAGTAGATGTTAAAATCAGTCATGCTGATTTGTACTCGGCTTTCGCCAAGATAATCAAAACTAAGACGTAGCTTTACAATAAGTAAAGCATAGTATGTTTTAATAAAGCTAAAATGCTTTAAAAGGATACACTATTCCATGTTTGACTCTTATTTAATTATAAAAAGATTTTAATTTCTATTGTCTATCTGGTCAATGTTTATAGGGATTTTAAGAAGTAATTTAATTACTTGTTGATTAATGAAATTACTTTTTAGACAGTGTAATTTGAAAAGTATACAATATTGATGATGTAATTTGTTGAAGTAACTTACCCAACACTGGTAGTGATATTTACTATATATAATCTGTAGCTACAAGTCATGAACAAATTTTGGAAATATTCCATTTATTTATTTTTTCTTCGCCGCTAATAGATTTAGGTTTTATCCAAACTTCTGGATATTGCACGCTCAGGCTTTTCTCATATAGTAGTCCTCCTTCCTCTATCTCTCAGTTTCTTCTTTCATTCTCTTCCATCAATCCCTCAATCATTCCTTGTGTTAGTGTCCATTCCCCAGCTGGTGAGGAGAGGACAGATCTTCTGTCTCCTGTCAGTGGGGCTAAAGAGGGCAATGGCGTTTGATCTCAGTCCCTAATGAACCACATGTACATTGTTTGAATACCTTCCTCTGCAGTCCCACAGTCTGAACCTCGTTTCCACACACACATGCACACACACTCACCCGCCATCGTGTACAGGAGCACTGTGCTGACCCGGGGTCCTGTAAAAATCACCAGCTGACATGTGTTGCTGCTTGTCCCTCCTAATGCTGATGGGGACTATTACATTACTGGCTCATTGATGTCACTAATGAAGTTAGAAATATCCCCTTATAATGACAGATTACATACATACATACTCTACATACACACACACACACACACACACACACATATATATATATATATATATATATATTCATAAAAATATAAATTGCTTTAACATAGCATGTTGAGGATTCCCATGGTCATCTGTTAATATCAGGATCTTTTTATTCATAAAATTATAATCCTGAAAAAAATTATTTTAATTTATTTTAAATTTTGATTTTCATTTGTTTTATTACTTTTTATTGCAACTTTAAACATTTCAATTGCTTAATTGTTGTGTGTGTGTAATCTCTATCAAAAAATGTGTAAAATCAGAAATTAACTGCACAACCCGGGTTTGGGAACCCTGTTTTTCGTCATTTGCCTCTCAGAGAAATTAGCTTCTCTGCAGAAAGAGGAAAAGTTAAGCCTGCCTCTGTCTTTCATAATGGAACTATCTGGTATTTTTCATTGAAACTGGGGCAACATGTTGCTCACTGTGGTCTTAACCTTGGCTTGATTTGGACTCATTTTCCTGGGCTGATGATGAAGCTGAATGCATTAGGTGGGTCATGGCCAAGGTCACCTGTCACATCTTTCCCACTGTTTTCAGCATAAGGGAGGCAAACCAGAATACACTCGTGGCTGCTCTCCCCAGAGAGTCCGCTTAACAGCCGCCCATATTTTTAACTGATTCCTTACCATTTTAATGAATAGGTTGGAACGGCCCACAAGTGAGCAACCTCACCCTATTAGAGGTGCTGAATAAAACAGGTAGGCAAAACTACTCGGCAAGATAGCTTCAGGGTCAGGTATGGGGGAAGTCCCAGAGGAAGCAGTTAGATGTTTGTTATATTAAGATTCTCAACTACATGCTCACTTTTTCAGCAGGCCATGTACCAGTTTTTTTTTTTTTTCTCACAAAAGCAAGAAAAATCTAATAAAATTTATTGAGGTTTCTACTTAAAACAAGAAAACAAAATGTACAATGAGGCAAGAAAAATAGCCATTATTTAAAGAACAAATAATCAATCACTGTCATGGTTCTGTTTTGTTTTGTTTTTTTAGTGCTACATCCTTATTAGCATATTATCTGTCGTAAATAGTATTCTAAATTAGAATTAGTGTGTTCCAAATCGTAATATATTGAAATTAGTATTTCAAAGATACCCGGATGGTCTACTTTTTCCGGTTAGAATCCGAAGTGCAAATTTGTGCACTCTAATGGCTAATATTGCCCACAACCCATTGCGCGCTGGACAAAGATTTGATTAGAACTACAAACACAAATAAAAAGTTTTTAAAAACTACAACATGGCGTTGCCCAACGGTTAAATAGAGAGGTTTAGATAAAGGGTTTGATATTTATTCAATGTTATCCACATTATATTTACAGTATTCTTCGTCCACATTCTAAACTTGTAATGATATGTTTGGTCATTAACTTTTAAATGCATCAT